AAGCTTACTTTGGCACAATAACTACCACTTTGCGGCAATTGCAAAGGGGCTTCAACTTTGGGCCGCATTAGCTAAGGCTCGATATGACACATTTACAACCTCATCCATCCCTAATTGAGTTGTTATAGAAGTTGACATCGTTAATTACTACGATAAGCTCGAATATCCAAACTATGATGGCAAAGACGACTTAATGGATTCAATGGACCCAAATAGAAATATTTTTTCTAAGGATACAACAGAGGAAGGCAACAAGGTGTTCTTAGCTGCATATGCCATATCGTTAGCAATACCCAATAGTCGTAGACTAAATAGGGAATTTTGTAGCTAGAACTCTCAAAAGTGTGGTTTGGTATACAACACACCACACTCGTCAATTTGTTTTGTGTCACACCATGAAAATGTGGATTTGTCTACAACACACGGCACGGATTAAAACTCTTTTCTACTCGTGAGAGAGAGGTAGGTCGTACCAGCTTCTCTCGAGTTGTATTGGTTAGAGCAGTGTGTTTGGGGTCTCCCTTTGCCGGTCCGCATTTGAATTCTACTACAACTTCTTATTGCAATGTCTAGGGGTGTTCCCCCCTGTGGTCGAGTTTTTTTAAGTAGGTCATTAATTAACATTTATGCCCTTAAAGGTGGATTGCTGCCAATTCATCAATGTTAGATCTCTCAATGAGGCAAGCCCACTTGCATCCCTATTGATCACTATTGACCATGGAGGTCAATAGGAAGAGGAGGCGTGCAAGAGGAGTCGCACAATTTGTATCTTGCCAAAATCCACCCACAAGGGGCGAGCTCTGCCTCCTTGATCCACTATCCACAAGAGGCCACGTCTTGTCGGATCACCAATCAGCACAACAATCATGTGTTAGGGCCGCCTACCGTGTCGGGCAGCACAACAATCAGCAAGGCGAAGGAGCGTGCGGTGGCTTACGGGCAAGAAAAGATGTCTTATGGGCGGCTTCAAGGTGGGTCGGAGATTTGACCCCCTTAGGCACTTAGCTAGACTCAAACAAACTTGTACCATGGTGGATTATTAAGTTGAGCTCCAAGTTTTGATATGCAAGGCTAAAACAAGCTATAACAAGTAGTCCAAGTGTTCAAACAGAGAGATTCATCTCAAGGCTAACGCATAGAGACATCAAGGCTTCAGAATCCTCGATTTACATATGAACATGAGTTATGCTCAAACATATAAACAATGAGCTTTAGTCACTGGCTCGCTGGCTTCACCACAATTAAAACAAATAGATAATTGGATGTTTGCATCAAGCAAATCACATAGGGGTTGCAATAGATGCAAAGACAACTAATTGAAGTTTGCGGAAAGCCAACACATGTTGCATTTCTTTGATCTCCCATATAGTGAAGCCAACACGATCTTGCATTTCTTCGATCTCCCATATAGTGAAGCCAACACAATGTTGCATTTCTTTGATCTCCCGTGTAGTGTAAAGCTAGGTACAATCACATAGATAACTTTACACTCACAAGAGATATATTAGGCATACTACGGTACCAATAGATCTTTATCTCCGAGAAATTAGGGCATGTTTAGTTGTGTAGGAAAACATTAACGCTCACGTGCAACCGCATCGACAACATCTACATACTGATTGTTACGGCATGCAGTCACAACAACAACATCAACAAAGTGATTGACGTAGGATTCGAGAGTGACAATCGTTGTCCTCCAGAGAAGATATCGACGAATTGGGACAACATAAGGACATGCCAAACAAAAGAAATCTTGTTGCGCTAAATGTAGGGTTCTATCTCGATGAGATTGTGATTAGGTTGGCGGACATGTAAATAGCACTCAAGTCATCGTAGACGATGATAGCAGCCTTCAAAGAAGGATGGTTCAGTTCAGGAAGAAGCTACGACAACTGCTTCAACGACGCCTTGGCAAAACATAGTCAGACACCTCCACAACTGGGTCAACAAGTCATTTGCGTTTAGAGGAATACAACACCAAGTTGTCTCCAAGGTAGAGACAATATCAAGACATGGCGAACAAATATCTAATCAGCTCACCCAATCATGACCAATAAAGGAGTGGTCCATATATCGGAAGAAAGGGTACCCTAGATTCTTCGGAGAGCAACTTTCCACCAACTTGACTATCATGAGGATCCTTCATATACAATAGATCAATCACACAAGAGAACACAATGCCAATGAAGCACCGAAGACAATGACAATCCTTCGATAGGCAGTACACCAGCCTACAGAAAGAGTCATGGAGGGTTACATTTGTTGCATGAAGACCCTTATGAATCTCATCACTAAGAAAGGCATTCCTTACTTCAATTGAGAGGCGACGAGCATAAGAGTGTGAATAGTGGTTATGTAGGCAACTAGGGCAAAGGTCTCATTGTTTGGCACAGCCATAGCTCCATTAAAACCATGAGCCAAGGGAACTTGCAAGAGACTTAAGTGAGATTTTGAAAACACGGAATATAAAAAGCTAAAAACACATGCACACCACAAATTAGCGCCGTTGAAAGAGGATCCAATTATGGTGTCTCGAAATAAGGCCAAATCATAAGAGGGGCAGAGTGCATACGATGCAATAGCCTAGGAGTTGACGCCCAACAATAAAACCTACAAGGGATATCGTCGTGCTCCTTGCAACTTGTAGTGGAGGTTCTTGTTTGTGGTGACAATTGAAGAGAGTGCTCTGGTGCTCCCAATGCACGGTAGCGATGGATGCAAGATGGTGACACGAGGCGGCGAATGATACAAAGAGCTCAAGCCACCGATGACGTCCAACTAGGCAATATAACCTCGAGATTGAGGCGATGCCCCAACCAAAAGAGGAATCAACCAGGGTGGTGAGTAAAGAGTACCCCGCCTTCTCTTTTGAACGCAAATGGCAAGAGCTCTGCGTATCAATTAAGAGGAAGAGTTTTATATCAAGGGAAGAGAGCCACACAAGCATGCCCAAACCAGCGAGGGAGCCCCAACAATAAGAAACTAAACTTAGTCCCTATTGATTTTGCATATAGTGTGCCCTTTTGTAGATTTCCACGCTTTCTTTGATCCTTCCAACGACTTGGAGGGTCGTGGCATGAGTATTCTCGAAAATCATGCGGTTTCGCTCTTTCCAAAGGTTCCACGTTGTGTAGATAGCTAGGCTATTGAAAGCTCGCTTGCGATCTTTGGGGATCGAGCGGAGGGAATGCTCTCACTAGTCTGCTAGGGTGTCGAAGTGTGCATGTTGTGCCACATCAAGAGTGGCAAAGTGCTCCCAACAGGTAACAAGGCTCCAGACCGCCTGGGCAAAGGGGTAGGCCAAGCATAGGTGGTGGCTGGTCTTCAGTGGGCCATTGCATAGAGCACAAGCATGGTGATGTGGCCAGCCTCGAAGCTCAAGATTATTGTCGTATCTTGTTCTAGATGAGGATCCACGTGAAGAGTTTGCATTTATTTTCCACATTCGCCTTCCAAATGGAGTTTGTTTTGTATCGTCGGTACGTTCCCAAAAAATGTGTTCTATAAGCTGATTCCATTTCCAAATGATTTTATCTTCGACCTCCAGCTGCAGTTGTAAGCCATATACTCACAATGGGACTCACATAACATGTCAAAGACATGTTGTGGTGCCTAACTTATAAGTTTTGAACGAAAGCCTCTGTTGCATGGATACGTCATGTCACCCCCGTATCCCGTTTCGGATACGGATACACGTGGGATACGGCACGGAGATGTCTCCCTGGAGTATTGTCGAAAATAAATAAATAACAGAATTTCAGATACGTGGGTGGTGACATACTGACTTGTTTTGCCGATACGGCCTAGTTGAGTAGGCCCACTATAACCCTCAGACTTACATGCGCACCACGAGCCTCGAGCCAGGTAGCAAGCGAGGCAATGGCGAACATGCACGCCTCCGCCGCCGCCACCCGACTTCCTGCCCTCCGCTCTCCCCGCCTGCGAGGAGATCTAGATCCGGTGGCATGCTCAAGCAGGGAGCAGCTGCAGCGACGCACGCCACCAGCCTGTCCAACTTCCTACTCGCCTGGCCAGCCGTCCAAGCATCCCTGCCCATAAGGCGATCAACCGCAGGCAGCAACCGCGGTGACACCTGCCACCCGCAAGGTGCACGCTGCCCATTTGATGCCAGCTATAAATCGACGGCAGACCGATGACGAGTTAGTGGTGAACCGGTGATTTCTTCGCTGTTTCCTCTTGTCTTTTGTAGCCTATTCCTACCCCATTCCCCATGTCAAATCATCTACAGACTCTTTGATTCAACGCAGTGTCAAATTAGTCTCGTCAAAGGGGAAAGGAATTGGATCAGAGATTTACCCATCTCCTCCAAGCCTAAAGCCTCATCCCTTGATTTGACAAGCCCTACTTCTGCACTAATCGCTTATAATTTTATATATTCTCATTTGGATTTTGGAAGTTAGGACTTCGAGAATTGGATGGGTAGGCTGGGCACTTGGCAGAACAGCACAATTGCAAGAATGCAGGGAATTTCAAGTTCCTGCTAGTGTGTTACTGCTTTTAGAATACTAATATGAAAAATAGTTAAACGTATCCACGTATCGGTGCGTATCCGTATCCGACCAATACTGATACTTGTATCTGTATCCATGCTGCATAGACGAAAGCAACATATATTGTCTATGTTTGATCACGCAGCGCTGTGTTGTGGTCCCAAAGGGCCTAATATACAAGAAAGGGTACACACAAATACAAGAAACATCCTACGCCAGAAGGAAAATACAATGCTACAATAATGCAATACAGTTAGAACAGAGCAGTGAAAAAAAAAATCTAAGGCAACATACCGTTAACGAAACTGTAGCACAGCGACTAACAAACTAGCTGTAACTCTGTAAGACTATAACAATAGCAAGCACCAAAACAAACATAGAGTCAAACAGAATAAGTAATAACAAGGTTCAACGCATTATCCCCTGCTCTGCTGTTCATCACTCTTACCATCATCGATTGCTTAGTGCCAGCGTTTTGCAAGCAGCAGGTTACTCAGACTCATAGCCAGTAAGAATAAGGAGTTCGATGGCCAATAATATACTATCGATATAATCAATAATAGTAATAATTAAAAAGAGCTCAAGTAACTGCCTGCGGATGTCGTTGGCGATGACTGCGACGGGGTCCTCCGGCGGAGCAGCGTTGATGTCAAGCTGAACTGCACCCAGCTTCCAGCGGGTGGAGCGAGCGCCACGTCTCTCGCACTCAGGGCAGATCCAGTCCTCGTTCGTAGCGGCGCGGGGCCGCCGCGCGCCAGGGTGGCCGGGTGGCGGGGGCGGGGGGAGGAGAGGCGGCCAGACGCGGACGCAGCTGGGATGGAACCCCCTTTCACACGCGTCGCAGACCAAGGTTCCCCCCAGAATCTCCGGGAGGCCGCAGGACGAGCAGGGGGGCAGCGGGTGGCCACAGCCCGCCTCCCCCGGGTGAGGCGCCGGCGGCGGCAGAGGGAGCAGCGGCAGCCCCAGACCAGGGAGCAAGCCGGCGGGCACGTTCCCTATGGGCCCAAAGGGAGTATTCCTCAGCTCGAGGGGGCGGTGGAACCGAAGCACCACATCGAGCGCCTCCTGCTGGAGCCGCGCCTGTTGGTTGGGCGCACCCAGGGGCAGCTGCGGCGGTAGCAGAGGAGGAAGCTGCTGCGGCGGCGGTGGCGGAGGCAGCGGCAGCGGGGCTTGGACCGGCGGAGCCAACTCCCGCGGCGGCGATGGGGCCTGCGCCGGCGGGGTGTCGCTCGGCGGCGGCGACGGGGCCTCGTTGAGGTCGATGACGAGATGCGGCGGGCGATCCATGCCGGAATGGGGATCGAGCTCGCGCTCAGGTCAGGTTGAGGGCGCTTGGCATGGCCTCGAGAGGAGGAGGTGGGTGGGGAGCGTGAGGGGAGCGGGGGGGGTTTTGGAGCGAGAACGGCGAGAGAGAGCTGCACGAGCAAAGCGACGCTGGGGTTAAGGAAGGGGGGCGATTCGGACGGGAGCGCAGCGCACTCCAGGTGCCCGGAGGAAACGGAAGGGAAAGGACAGTGCGTGCGTGACTGGAGGATGCCAGGAGGGTTGGTGTGGGGCTGCACGTCAGTGACTCGCGCGGCTCTTTTGGCTGGACGGGATGCGGTGACGCGGAGCAGAGGCACGCGAGGGGCATGCCGAGGGTCGAGGGCCGGGGCCGGGCCGGGTCCGTCCGCGCGGCGTCTGTTTTTCTGGCTTTGTCCTAGGTGCAGGTTCGTTGCATGTCAAGACAAAGATGGTTAGGCCCTTGGACGGGTTATTATTTCCTATTCTCCTTCCATCACTGAACTTGTGAGAAAGAAAGCTATATTAACCAATTTTTCTAGAATTTAATTACATTATTATTAGTATAAACAAAATGCTTAAAATCAAGATCTGCTTATTTTTGTGTGACAATTTTTAACTGGATGTCATGTGACTAGTATAAAATAGGATGGTATTAAGTGACTACTTACAAAAGGAGAACTAAAAATTTGTAGTTATTTGTACGGCAATATTTGTTTTTATGATTCGGTCATGAACATGCATAGTGAGGTAATTTTCTTGTTGAGCCCTTCATAAATAATGATTAATGTAGTGCCATATTACTATTTGTGAGTTGTATATCAATAAACTAATTATTAATGGAAATATAGCCAAAAGATAAAAGATGTATATCTCTTCGCTTGCTTGAAGATTTTATCGAAACCCACCAACTTTTCTAAAGCTATTTTGTGTTTGAGAAGGACACACTTGCGAGGAAAGAGCTGTTGTTTCGAACATGTTGTCACAAATTTATTGATGTATACCAGGCACCCATGAGCTATACATCAATAAATTTGTGACTCGGAGGGGAAGATACAAAATAGATGACTCACTTATGTGAGGTAATACTATGATATTCAAGGGGAACATGTAGTGTGTGTTTGAGAGAGCCCAGCAGATGCTTGGAGAGTTGGTATGGCGCAAGATGTTAGTGATTAACTAAGCACTACTGGACGGGCGCTGATGAGATGTGGTAACGCGGAGTACGCACATAACGCGGGTCAAGGGTCGGGGCCGAGCCGTGTCCCTTCGCGCGGTGCTTGTGTCTGGCTTTGTCCAGGTCCACATAGGTTTGTTGCACGTCAAGACAAAAATGGTTAGGCACTTAGGCTGGTTATTATCTCCTTCCATCGCTGCACTTATGAGAAAGAAAGCTGGATCAACCAAATTTCATAGAATTTAAATACATTCTTATTATTATAAACAAAATGTTTAAAATCAAAATCTGCTTATTTTTGTGTTACATTTTTAACTCGATGTCCTGCGTATAAAATAGGATGGTATTAAGTAGTGGTTGCTTATAAAGGAGAACTAAAAATTTGTAGTTATTTATATGGCTATATTTGTTTTATGATTCGGTCATGAACATACATAGTGAGGTAATTTCCTTGTTGAACCCTTCATAAATAATGATTAATGTAGTGTCATATTACTAGTTGTGAGTTGTATATCAATAAACTAATTTCTTAATGGAAATATAGCCAAAAAGATAAAAGATGTATATCTCTTTGCTTGCTTGAAGATTTTATCGATAGTATCCAAATTTTCTAAAGATATTTTATTGTTGAGAAGGACGCGCTTTGTGAGGAAAGAGCTGTTGCAGTTTCTACTAGGCACTCATGAGTTGTACATCAATAAATTAGTGACTCGGGAGGGGAAGATACAAAATAGATGAGTCACTTATGTGAGGAAATACAATGAGATTCAAGGGGAACGCGAGGCTAGTGTGTGTTTGAGAGATCACAGCGGATGCTTGGAGAGTTGGTTTGGCGTGGGATGTTAGTGCTTCACTAGGCACTACTGGACGGACAATGACGAGATATGGTAATGTGGAGTAGGCACACAACGTGGGTCGAGGGCCGAGGCCGGGCCGTGTCCCTCCGTGCAGTGCCTATTTCTGGCTTTGTCCTAGATCCACACAGGTTTGTTGCACGTCAAGACAAAAATGGTTAGGTACTTAGGCTCGTTATTATCTCCTTCCATCTGAACCGGTGAGAGAAAAAAGCTAGATTATGATCAATTTTCCTAGAATTTAAATACATTATTATTTGTATAAACAAAATGTTTAAAATCAAGATCTACTTATTTTTGTGTTACAGTTTTTAACAGGATGTCCTGTGTGGCAGAACCGCCCCAAAATAACTCGCTTACGGAGGCGCTCGTCTTCTACCAGACACTAAGCACCCCGAGAGCGAGTTACAGCGGCGGTATCCGTCAGGCACACCCCAAGGGAGAACCTGAAAGATCCACATTTTTCGCAAGGATCCAATAATGAGAACGAGTTACAATACAGGTCCATTCAGACATCAGAGATTCTTAGAAATTACATTATTACATTACCAAATGTCAGAGTGCGGAATGATAAACATCAAAATTTAAAATAAACATCTAGAGATAAGAACGAGGATTCGTCTGAGCCCACCAGAAGAATCCTCCACACAAAGGTACTTCTCATGCATCACCTGCAACATGGGTAAATAAACCCTGAGTACACAATATACTCGCAAGACTTATCCGACTAGTGGGAATAATTTCCTGAGTCCAAGGAATATGATAAGCTTTATGGTTTGCTGGTTTTCTTTTTGTAGAAAGCAATGCTAATTATGAGTCCTTATTTATGTTATTAATATCAGTCGTATTAAGTTATTATCTAGCCAGTCTATATAAGCACCTGTTCTACTTTTAAGCAATAGTTGAGCAATCAGTTTCATTTCTTCTTCTTTCAACTTTTAGTTCTTACTACGATGCTAGAGGTAAGACAAGTCGTACCGACCCGGTGACGATTCGTGAACCAATGTGCCCAGCTGGGTGCCTCAAAAACACATGTCCCGCTTATACCCCAGGCACAAGCAGTACTAACCCATCGCCCTCCTGTCCTGGGTGTCCAGGTCTCCATCCAAACTTGGACTTCAAGCCCCCACTCCCGAGTCCCGGACTCAGTGCAGTGCAAGAACCTCCACCATCTCCGTCTCCAATTAGTCGGTCCAGAAAGAGCCAGATCCATGATAAGAGAGCAACAAGTCTTCCCTGCGCCCATACCCAAGTATGTGCTCGGGACAATAGATCTGTGGCTTGCCTTGCGTCCATTGTAACGACCGGTCCTTAACCGACCAAACAGGGAAAAAGTGTAACCAAGCTATGCCCCATTATCCGCAGGACACAACCTCTTACACCCACCAGTACCCAAACCATATCCTTGCCCGGTCACTATTTTTTTCCACCATTTTGTCATGAGTAGTCATATTTATCACCTATTTATGAGTAACGACAGGTTACCCACGCTACCGACATCCTGAGCATAGTAGCTACTCGACCTATACTAGTAGGACTCATGGATGGATATATTTATGCACGTAGTTTCCATAAAATGCATGTAACTTAAATACACATTATATATATATATATATTCAGTTATCATAAAATAGAGGTTATGCACCGGGGCTTGCCTTGGGTAGGTGACGGGTCAGTAAGGTTAGCTCCAAAAGGCTCCGGGGCTCCCTCCTGCACGAGGATCTCCTCCTCGTACTCCTCGATGACTTCCTCGTACTTCTGTTCATCGACAGGCACAAACTCTACCAACTTATGATCTACATGCATGAAATGATGATACAATACTTAATAATATAACAACAACAACTCTTAAAATAAAAATACATCTGTCTAACTACTAAGCTAGTGATACCGACCACGGTACTAAGTTATCTATTGTTATCAATAACAAGTATGAAGTATGATATACATTATTATACCAACTACATGCATTCTTACTCCTAATGCTGATTTACACTATATATGATAAAGCAAGGATAATAATTACTCTATTTATCAACCTACTCTAGGGTTACAAAATTTACAACAAGTACATAATAATCTAGTGAGCCTACTGTAAAATTTTCATAGCTATAGCTATCACCAATTTACCACAAAAATTCCTACAATTATTAATCTATATAATACTAAGCTTTTCTAGTTGGAATTTATGAACCTACCATTGTCATAGCTAACTCTAAGCTAAATACACTAACAGGTGGATAGTATTTTTGTGAACCTAACAAAATTGGTTTTACTATTTTTGGACAACTACACAATTTACTACAATTTATCAAAATTCAGCTAGAAATTATATTGAATAAATGTTGGTAATTCGCTGGAGAATTGAAAAATGAATTCTACCACGCGGCCCGCGAGCGACGGCTCAGCCCACCCCGGCGTCCCGCCCGCGCGCATGCGCAGCAATCGGCGTGGCCCACTCAGCGGCTCGCGACGCAGCCCACAATACTCGGCCCACAGCGGAGCCTGCGCGCGGCTGGCGCTTTAGCGAAGAAGCCCCCGTTCTTAACCCTATTCGCGAAACTAACCCGAGCACTATTTAAACATAGTCATTGGCTTCGCATCAAGGACCCTACTTCTATTCGAATTCACGTTTTATGAAGCCCTTGGCCGGACTAACAGGGGCCACGGCCTCGTCGGACAAACGCCAGCGAGCACAGACCTCTCCGGCACTCACCAGCACCCCCATGAGCTTCGACGTGCCACGCGCAACGGATTGAGGTAACAAATGCCAAGAATGGCGCACCACGCAGGCATGGCCACGTGCCGCGACGGGGTCTGGCCGTGCTAGCCCGACGCTGGTGAAATCGTCTAACCGTACGCCTCTACTGCTACTCGGTGAGCATCTATAGGCTAAGAGTAACCACCTTGAAGCCCTAATTGAATCACTACTACGCCCAACCGAGCTGGCCCTAGGAGCGGCATCTAAGCCAGCT